CTTTCTAATTGCAAGGTACATAACCGTATGTTGGTACTTTCGTTGATAAGTGCGTGAATATACGCGTCTTTTGTTTGAAAACTGCACCATTTAGAGTCAATGCCCCGTGTCGTATCCGTGTGATGGACCACAAGTTACATTCAACTCATCAATCTTCCATCCCAACATCGGCAACGCATCGATGAAGTTTTCTAAATCTTCTTAATAATTGGCTAATGTGGTTGCTGGATCGTATTTTGCAAAAAAATGCATGAGCGTGATAAATTGGCTTTCCAGTTGACTCCGTAAAAATGCCTTTTGAGTGTACTGCTGTGTGCATTGCGTGAGGTTTTAACTGGTCAGCAATGAGTTTGTCTACTATACAATTATAATTACCTATCGGCATGTGCTTAGTGTTGGTGTTGGTTAAACTTGTGGATGTTGCAATCTGCGAGACGTATTTAGGCTCATCAACAACCCGAATTTTGCTTTGCCAAATAGCACATTTGGGTAGCTGGAAAACAGAGTCGTTATCTTGAAGAAGACGATGCGAGTATTGGCTGGTCTGCTTTTGTTTTTTAACGGTTTTTGCCAAAACCATGGCTGGTGCGAGCGGGCAGAGACCAATGCATGTCGTCCAGTGAATGAGGAAGAGGATGACAGCGATGATGATGCAAATGATGTGGTAGATGCTGTGTAAGAAATAAACGTATAGACTGACGCCACCCCGTGTTGTCACCGCCGCTGCGTTCACGGTCTGTGACGTGTGTTGCCTAGTGAAGGCTTTATCATTAATCAAATGTCAAATCAGTCAGCTTACGTTATTTCGCAATTGGCAATAAGTCAATTTTAAGGCGTGAGCAATTAAATAATGCCAGTTTGAGTTTCGACACTACACGACACAGGAAGGTTGAATTCTTGCAAGCAGACTGGGGCTGTTTACGTGAGCAAGTGGTGCTGTTACCAGCCAAGTCGGACCTCAGGAGACATTTCAAAGTCATGCATGAAATGTTTACCATTCTAAGGGCAGGCTGGCATGTTGCACCACATTGACGACAGCCTGGTTTTACTCAGTTCCCTCTTCACGCTTGCTCATCTAAATAACGAAACGTCTACAGTCATTAATGTTCCCACATGTGTGCCACGCGTTGCTTTTATTCGGAACTAGGCTAAATCCACATCACTAAGTTCGTAAGTTTGCACCATCACGCGTAATATTAATGCAAATTCATTTAGAGTACATTTCGGGAAGCCAGGATTTGTCACATGTAGATCGCGCTAATGTTGATTCGCTTGTAGCCTTTCGTGTATAGACCTCAGTAGACTTTGCTAGGGACTTCACACGAGCATTAGAAGTAGACTGACGCATTTCTTCTTAACCTACACTTTGATTGGAGAAGCTGCAAAAACGCCAACCTCGCAGTAAGTTGCGGTAAACTGTCGCACTTGAGTTAGATGTGGTGATAATATTGGTTAAGAAAACAGGACAGTCATGGAAATGCGCAGAAAAGTGCTTTACGATCGGTGGAGGTGGCCATAAGTTGTTTGTCCCTGAAGAATCCCACATACCCAGATTACGCAATATAAAAATCTTGATGTGACTTTGATTTGACATATGAAAACTAACGCCATGTAAACCACTCTTGTCATCTTCAACAGAGCGTTTGGTTATTCATAAGCTTTTTTAAATCAGTTTGGATCTTATGCGATCAGACATGTAAATGAAACAACTGTGCTCAAATTTTGGCCCTGCTGTACCAACAATTTAGCTTTTAGCACGATCATTATTTTAACTGCGGTTAACATAAAAGCCTTTGTGATTGCGTGTGGGTGCTTTGCTGCAGATCTGCAATTGCTGGAATAGTTCAACAGCACGCAGCGTCAAATCATGCAACGCTTGAGATGTTGATGTTTTGGGACTAATGTGTAGATGGTGTTCACTTGTCATTGCAAGTATGGAGGGTTTCTGGTTAGACAATTTAACATACGAAGTACTTAAATTTATTCCATAAGTTTCAGTGATTGGAAATAAACATAGCGTGCATAAATTGATTAACAGCTATTTATTCGATAAAGTTTGATCTATGCAGAGAATCTGCTGCCATCAGAAATGACCAATGTGCTTGATCATGATGAGGGTTTTCATCTAGCTCGCGGTATGTCCTAAGTTTTCTTCCACCAATTGTGTCGGAAACTAGAAGACGCCAACGCATGCCTGCGTCTAGAACACGAAGCGGTTCGTCTCTATTCGAAAAAAGTGGAGCAATGTGTTTATCAAGGTGCAGATTTGCAGGCCCTTATAATGCGGGCACTGGTTCGTTTGCTGAATGCCACTTTTTGGACATGTAAAAACAATGCGCTTAGCACCTAGTGATACCAGTTTAGCACAGGTTTTAACTCATTGTTTGAAGCAGAGATAATTAACAGTTTATCATTACTTGTTGCAAGCAAGCAACATAAATCCACAAATGTCTCCCCACGTGGCGGTTTATCTCCATACCTAAGACGTAATGTGTGACGCTCACGGATTGACACATGCAGTGTTCACTGAGAACTGTGACAAATTCATGAACCCCTGTCAATGAGGCAGCTTTACTGCAACAGGCATGGACAATGATTTCAAAGATGCACCGCAGGTCCGGTCAGCACAATTTCGCACATTTTTGTCCCGACTGGACACGAGCTGCGATGGCACAGTTAATAATCTCGCGAGGCAGAGTGACACCTGTCGTATTCGGTGGTGATTGAACTCCTGCTTTCGATCATTCTCCCACCTCATTGATTTTTTTACTAATAAGATTAATTACTTCTATCGCAACGGAGTGATTGAAAACGCAAAACTAAACCGGAACGTTAACTGCCAGTTTGGGTATATTTTATCATGCATATGCAGAGGTGCACAATCATAAATGAAAAACGCGTCAGTTTAAAAGTAGAGCAGTTCATTCTCCCAGCGCGCTAATTTTGTTCTCATTTTTGTTTGAGAAGGTTAATTGGTTCTACTGTGACGGAAACTGGACGATCAGCAAGTCCCACTCTCATGCCAATGTGGCAACGGATGAGAGAGACCAAATTGGATGGGAACTGGTGTGACTGCCAATTTCACGTGAGTCCATCCAATACCTGTGGCATTCAGTGTCAGTGGCGTATCTTATTATTTCAGCGTATTTAATTGCCTAGTTTTTATATTTCAAACTGTAGATTGATGACTTTTCAATAAAAATCACAACAAACCCACCT